TCACCTACTTGGAAAGATGGTTCTTTATGTGTCTTGTCCCCGAGTGGCTTTTCTTTATTGTAAGCAGTTGCTTCAGTAATGCAATGTTCTGCATGGACTCTGGCTTTTTCAAATATCTTAGCGTAAGTGAGGGCTGTGGGATGAATATCTACTGCATCTTTCTTCAGGAAGTTTCTGGGTAGGTTTGGCATCCATCCTTTCTCAAGAATAGCAGGTGCTTTTCCTGTTGTAGAGTGTATGCTAGTGCTATAAGCTAGTTCAAGTATAGGTAATAATGAAACCCAGTCATGGGTGTACCCATCATTGTCTTTGAATTCTAGTCCATAAGCACAAAATCTCCTCACCATGTCTTCCAGGGTTTGTATCATTCTCTCTGCTAGGCCATCAGTTTGCGGGTGGTAAGCTGTGGAAAAGGACAACTTGGTTCCCAACATACTGTGCAGTCCTGTCCAGAATTCTGAAGTGAATTTGGGGTCTCTGTCTGAGATGATTATCCTGGGTATGCCAGTCCTTGGCATGACTCTGTTCCAGAAAAGCACTGCTGTGTCCATAGCAGAATCATCTTTGAAGCAAGGTATGAATATTGGGGATTTAGAATATCTGTCTACTATTACCAGGCATGCATTAAAACTAGCTGCTCCTCCTGGGGATAGAGAGGTCACCCAATCCATGTTCACAATGTCCCAAGGCTTTGAAGGTTCTTGGATCTTCATAAGTAGGCCAAACCTTTTTCCTGTAGCTTTATTTGCTTTCTGGCACCTGTCACAAGACATACAATATTCAGAGGTGTCTTTTCTCCAATTTTGCCACCAGGCGGTGTCTTCAACTTTCTCCAGAGTCCTGTCCTCTGAGAAATGGCCAGAATATACACTGTCATGGCACTCGTGTAGAACTACATTGATACTATCCTTGTCAGCAAGAACCAAGACTGAGTTATGTTTTTCCCTGTGATATATAAGACCATCAAACAGGGAGAATCTTCCTTCTGCATAGGATGTCTTCCAAGGTTCTTGTAATGAATTTTTTAGCGCTGAATCTTTGTTATCCTTTGTGAGTATCTGTGATAAGATGACAGTATTACTATTCTTCTGATAACCCTCCTTTACAGTCTCAAAGAATTCATCTTTGAAGGAAGAAACGTGTATGCCCATGATAGGGAATCTATCATCATCCTTGTCTTCTGGATCATAAGCAGGGTTGCTGGGGTCATTTGGCAAAGCCCATCTGCTTAAACCATCAGCATTCTTGTGTATATTCCCATCTCTGTGTTCTATTTCCATGTTGGCTCTGTATTCTTGTATTGCAATTTGCCACCTGAGAATATGCCTATTGGGGGTCTTCATGTTGAGTAAAGATCTCAAAGCAGTGCAATCTGTTACAACTTTGAAAGAACTACCATCCAGATAATAGTGCAACTTTTCCACTGCCCACACAAGACACAAACACTCTAATTGACTAGCTCCATACCTTGTTTCACTGTCCTTGAGTTGTCTAGAAATGAAAACAATTGGTCCTTCCTTTTTGATTCCATCAATCTTTTGGACTTGATGGAGGGCTGCACCTAGTCCTGTCATACTGGCATCCACATATAACATGAAGGGGTATTTCCAGTCAGGAAAAAGGAGCAAGGGCGCTGATGTCAGTTTCTCTCTGAGGAGGTTATAGGCTGCAAGTCTCCTATGGGTCATTTTGAACACAACTTCAATTTTAGTTAGTTCTGTTAGTGGTCTAGCAATGTCTGCAAAGTGCTCAATGTGCTGTCTGTAATATCCAGCAAAACCCAAGAAGGATTGAACCTCTTTCTTGCAATTTGGGACTGGTTTTTGTAACACAGCTGCTACTTTGTTCTGGTCTATTCCTATTGCTATTCCAGACACCACATGGCCCAAGGCTTTAATCTGGTTGAACCCAAAATTGCATTTTTTCAAAGAGATTTTCATATTCATCCTAATAACAATCTGTAAGATCCTACTGATTCTTATTAAGTGTTCTTCCCAAGTATTTGACATTATGATGATATCATCAATGTAAATGATGACCCATTTTTCATCTAACTCTTTTCTGAACTCTATATCCATCATCCTTTGGAAATGAGAGGGGGCATTCTTGATACCAAAGGGCATTCTCAAATATTCATAGATGCCTTTATGTAGAATAATCCTCAACAAGTGTCTGGAGTCCTCAGCTATCACATTTTGATGAAAACCTTTCAATACATCCATACTAGTCAGGAATTTGGCTCTGGCTAGATTGTTCAAGGTCTCACTGATTTTTGGTATTGGATACCTGTCAGCTGCTGTGTAAGAATTCAAGGATCTGAAGTCTCCTACCATCCTGGATTTTCCATTGTGCCAGGCTATAATCACAGGAGTAGTGATTTCTACAACTTCATTATGGCCAACTTTCCTCAGCACATTCAGTCTGACCAACTCTTCTATGTGTTCCTCCAGTGCTTCTCTACTTTT